GATCGCTTATGTTTGCGTAAACATATTTAATTGTTAATACAATAGTTTTGAAATATGTTTTTCATATGTATGAAACTAAAAGAACTATTTACATACATAAACAACTAACGTAACATAATTTCATTTGTAAATTGTTCAATGAGAGAACAAGGTTCTTGCAATTTGCCAATCATCATGTATAGAGACAATAAATTATTCTTAGGTTTTTTTTTCTTTCTTTTTTTTCTTTTTCTAGAGGGTAAGTGAGGAGTAAAAAGGCCAAAGGGGGTGGTGGTGGGGGTCTCATCAGGTGTGGAATGCAAAGCGGTAAGAAATGAATCTAACAAGAGATCAGATTCTGAGAGAGAGAGTGTGTGTTCAATCAACCATGCAATCTGCCTTTCAGCACTGCTCTCTTTGCAGAATGGGTCAGTAGCAGTACAGAAAGGGCAGAGAGAGAGAGAGAGAGAGAGGTAAGCATGACGTAAGTTTCTGACACTATGACGCGTGCATGGAAGCGTGTGAAGCGGATTTCGAATTCAATACACACACAGCGCTAGGCGCTAGCTAGCTTTTAACTCTCTCCTTGGACTTTTCTAACCCCCACCCATCCAAAAATTCTATATCTGTCTCCCTCTTTCACTCACCATGCATTGTCTTATATATGGCGGCAGGGAGAGAATATTAACTTCGATTTTCATAAATCAAATCTTGCTCTCAAGTATTTTTGCAAAAATATAAATAGCATTTTACATGTCGGATTTTTTAAATATTGGATATTAATCAATGTATGATTTGGCCATGTTTTAATGAATAAAATCCGAGAGTATATATACGTATTTGCTATTTTTTGTAATTTTATAATTGGAAAATGGCCATGCATGCATGGCTTTACATCAGCAAGAGAGGAGAGAGGGGAGAAAGAGATGGATGGAAATGGAGGAGAGCTGTCATACTGGTTTTCTGAGTGCTTCGTACGATCGTGTACATGCATATGTGAAGAGGGGTCAGAGCCCCATCATTGTCTCAATTATCAGGTCCTGAGTAGTACGCGAGAGAGAGAGAGAGAGAGAGAGAGATTGTTAAATTGCAACATTTCCTTACCTCATCGACCTAATTACCTACACAGACCCTTTACCTCTGGTGCGTATCCTATGTATTATCTTATTGATGCAAACTGCTGTGACTAAGGTCGTCTACTACAACTTGCCTGACCTCATCGATCCTCACCAAACTATTACGTGTATTATTTCTCGAGAAGGAAAGTGGGAGGGTGGGTAAATGAATTAGGACGATTCCTTCCAATGTAATTTTTCACTTGATTAGGAATTTAGGATTGTTGAATGTGAATTATTATTGGTACTAAAAAATTTTATTTTATATTTCACATTTTCTATAATTAGTAAGAAATATACATTTATTAAAAATGTAGAATAAGATTTTTAAATTGATAATAACCGTTCATTTGTTGAATTCCTATTTAAAAGTGCATAATATTGTTCTCCGATCATGCTGATCAGCAAATTCAGTAACATGTTTTTAGTCCAACATATCAAGGTGCAAATCATGGAGACAACAGAAAAATATAAATGAAACACTTGATTAATTATGAAACATAAAATAGTCTCAAAACTCTCCATCCTAGTATATCGTAGCTGCCAATATATGCCATAGGGGATTAGGGCTATCGTCACATATACCATGAATTCAAGGCAGATATTAAGGTGAGGGAAAGGATCATCAAAAGAGCGAGTCTGAATGTAATTTGCTTCTCCTAGACTGCTGGCACGTAACCTTTTCTTAGAAACAAAACGAGAAATCTTGATACTTTTGTAAAAATATTAGAATTTTAATCGATTTTATGCAACAGGCTACAGCTCCTATGAATTGCAGATATTAGTGGAATTCTGGTTTGGAAGACCGAGGAGCTCATTTGATGACGGGACTGTGATGCAAAGCTGGCAGCACAGGAAGCAAGAAAATAGCTGCAGTATTTTTTGGTGTAATAAATTTTTTATAAAAAAATAGCTGCAGAATTATCTGCAGGTAAACGAAAAGATTTTTTTTTCTGGTCCTCAAGAAAAGTTTTTTGAAATCTTCCAATTTTGTTTAGATGACCAACTGAAAGGGCACCCACTTCTCTTTACCATATTCAACATTCATGTATTGGGCAATTATTATGTCCACACTCCACAATTTATCAAATTAGTGGGCATATTAACAGTTCAATTTTTTGAAAATAGAAAAAATTTATAAAGTTATTTCAGCATTCTCTACTATAACCGTGTTGTGTGAAGTATGGGCATGAATGCTACATATAAGTGAAGCTAAAACATATATTTGTCCTCCAAAGCCCTAAAACTTGAGGAAGTGATCTATGAAAGTACAAGGGCAAATTTTTGTTTGGTGAAAGAGAAAATCGATCGAGCGAGTTCTCATTCGTTCAGTCACCAAACTTGTACTACACGTTTAGGGACTGCCAAAAATGGACAAAGGAGATATAAATATGAGAAAACGTGAATGAGAATTGTGGAAGTGTAAGTAAACAGAGAGTGGCATGCATTCCCACTACATGTTTGTAAGATGGATATGTCCCTGATTAATCAATGACAACACTTATTCAGTTCAGCATATGTAAATGGATCAATTGGACCTGCATTTAATATTCAAAACCCTAAAATCTATTTTTAATTCACTTAGTAATTAGGTTTAAACTTTAAATCATTGTTCTTATCTGCTTAGTTTCAAAATATGCCAGGATGGATAAGGTTTTCTTTTTTAACTCACTGCATTATTAGCTCAAACACTTTCCTTTCCCACTTGGGGTAAATTAGAATAGTACTACCATTTGTATTTATAAAAATGTCAAGCATCAACTAGCTATTTGTTGGGTGATTCTAAAGATTTCAAAACCGACTGGTAAGGTTCACCTTACGAATTAAGCTGGAAGAATGATCTTATGGCCACCCATTTTTCATAATTTTCCATCCACCTTATAACTAAAATACACATAACAAACAATATTAAGGTGAATGAAAAAAAATATGATAGGTAGATTGACATAGTAGCACTCAAGTTAAAGTCTTGTTGATTTTTAAAAATTTTACAAATGAAGAGGATGTATTAGAAAATACGAAGAAATTCTTTACACATTTATAAACAAAACTAGATAATAGGAATATATTTATCTTAGGATGATGATTTTACTCAACTCTTTTTAGCTTCATTTACCGTAAACAACAGATAAAGTCAGACAGAAATGCGTGCGAGAGAGAAGGGGGTATGTATTTATCATGTCCCTTTCATTTACAATAAAATGTACCTATTTCTAAACAACTACATTAGAGTTAGCCTAACAATAAACATTCAAATATAACAGCACGAGTGGCATATAACTTGTATGTTCATAGAAATTTATTAACAATCAAGGATGCATGACTAGTGAGTCGTGACATAACTTGTCTGCTATAGAAATTTAAAAAACTCAAAGATACATGATAAGTGACATAACTCCATCAGATTTTCTATGTCGTTTTAATAGAATTAAAATGTAATTTCCAATTAGCTGAATGTTCGGCGTTTATGTGTAATAGGACAGTTGCATCTTGTTCAAAGTGGTCGATGTCAAAGTTGAAAAATCAAGCCAAATTATTGTAGGTCACACATCATACATGTAAATGTAGCTAGTGTAGGAATTGGTGATTTAAATTAGGGAATTTTAACGAAAAGCTCTTTAGACTGTTCATTTTAACGAAAAATTACATTTTTACACTAAAAAGTCAATCCTGATACTATTCACTTTACCCTTTATTTTATACTTATTGTTAAAACTCAAAATTTTTAAGTTATTTTCATTAGTTTTCTTTTAAAATTAGGATTAAACACTTAATCATTAGTTGTATGGGTGGTGTGTAGAGTTCTTACTTATATGACGTGGCACGAAGCTAACAAGGATTACAAACATAAATCTTCATGAACAAATGTTTTTGGAATCTACTAAAGATAGGGATACCCAAAAAGTTGTTTGATTAATTTTGAATTGATGAGTTGCATTGGGAACCGAAAGGTTTTAAAAAGACATAAATACAACATGGGGAAAGCTCAGTGCCCTTAGAAAAATTAAACAACGTAATTTTGGACAAAAATTGAAAAGCCCGATATTTATTACAAATTTTATTTTATGGTTTTGGAAGTTGAAACGATTTTAGATGACCTTAAACATGAAGGGCTCATCTCATAACCATGAGGTTTGTTCTGCTCATGATTCTCTTTAAAAAAGACATTATACACCTAATTATGATATCAAAATATTTCTTGTTGCGTCTTATATCATGATATCGATTGAATCCAATATTCTTCAACTTTAATTTCTTCTTTTCAAAATTTGCAAAATTTATTTTCTTCATCTTTCTTCGTTGGAATTAACGCATATCTTGTCCTACATCACTAGACTAGAAAAAAAATATTACAACAATTTTATGCATGGGCGATACAATTCCCTACTAGCTCTACACATTGTAATCTATGTTCCTCATTGAGCCATTGTTCAGTTTCCTTGATATTTGAACCTTGTCATCTTTGATTCAAATATGATTTCTTTAGTTTCAATGTTTAAAGTATTCAGAATCGAACACTAAATTGCATTGCAACTTGTGATAAATTCAGACCGTTTGATTTACTTTTTTAGTGAAGGTGTCATGACCTTAATAGTTGATGGATTTCCAAATTGCCATGAGATACCAAGTTTGATGTCCAAATTGCCATGCAGAAGTAAAATTTCATGCTATATTTTGTTGGCTCGGAAAAGGAGTAGTCCAACCTTTTCTTGGTTAAACTTAACAATTATCGAGTTAAGATCATGATTGGCCTGCATTCCAACTTTGGCTCCTGCATTGTCAAAACATTCACTTATTACCATAAGGCAAAGTTCAAAGAAATTACGAAGGAGACGGAGACCGCATTGTCAAAACTAGCAAACCTTAACCGTTTGAAAGATAAGAATTCGCGTGAACAATGAATAATGGAGCTAAAAATACCTTCTATTTCTGAAATTGTTTGTACAAACTACAAAGATAAGGAAGATACACGAGACGGAAAAGAAATCTAAGCCCCCAAGCAAAATTGTTACATATACAAACCCAAAAAGATTAAACAAAGCCTTGCTACCTAAGGTGAAATTAAAATCATTATCCCCTGTAAATACTCCTAATTCAGAGAACAATCTAACAACTCCCCTATTTTTTTTTTCTCCCCTTCATTTTATACAACTCAAATTTGCAGAGATTATTTTAGTAGGATAACATGGGAATTACAAGAATTATTATTCCTGCAGTCTTTGTTTGTCTTCCAAGGCTGACTAATATCCTTGGCTATCGCAACAGCGTCAGAAGCCGTTCCAAGAAGCCCCTTTCTTGTGAATCCAACTGTGTAGAGTCCATCACTTCCTTTCCAGCAGTTGGGAAAGGGTGCTTTTGGCATCCCATCTTTAGTGAAAAAATCACAACCCTAAAATACCAAAATTAAAAAAATAATATGTTAATATTTGCTGAATAGTAACCATCATACGTGAAAGCCCACAAGGGCATATAACTTGTAAACATACAAAAAGGTATAATACAAAAGGGAGTGTAACTGCAGAAGAAAAGAGATTCTGCCATGTTATTGGATTCGGATGGATATACTCGTGCGTCCCTACTTCTTGTAGGGTAACGAGTGTGTACATTTAATGAATACTATGTCACTAAATGTATACACTCACGTATTGCTTCTCGTTGTTTTTCATAGCGTATTAATGTATACATCCGGTGACACTCGGGATTTTCTTGTAGAAGAGGCCAAACAAAAAGCCCAAGTATTTTTTCTGGGGTCAGAAACAAGAAAAACCCCAAATTGTTTTATTCTTTTTTTCCATGGAGAAAAGAAGGGGTTTGTAGGTATGTGGAACTATGTGGCCTATAGTTAGTTTCCCAAAAAAAAAAAAAACTACGTGGCCTATAGTTTGTGGATATGTCCAAGAGAGAGAGTGACAAGTGAGTGCATAATAAGATAGAAGTAAAAACTAAAAGAGGGCAAGCTGGTCATGTTCACCTTGAGCCAAGTAGGCACATTGCTTTTGTACCCAGTTGCTAAGATTATAGAATCAAACTCCTTCTCCTGTCCATTCATAAATCTTGCTCCATTTCTTGTTATCTCCTTCACCCCTTCCATCACCTGCAAAAAAATCCTAACGATTTAGCCAAAACCCTACTCAAAAAATCCAAAAAAAATCATATAAAAAAGGAAAGCTTCCAAGTACCTTTATTTTGCCAGATTTAATTTGTGACAATGCTCCAACATCAAGAACTGGGGTTTTTCCAGTGACATTCTTGAGCTCAATAGGGCCAGTTTTGGGCCTTTTGAGCCCTAATTGGTCTGTGTTGCCTAGGATGAAATTGGCCACTAGCAATAGGACCCTGTCTACAAGCTTCAATGGCAGCCATTTGAGAAGTGCCATTGCAATCCCAAATGTTGAGAACCCAAACATCTCTCTTGGTAAAACATGAACCTGTAAATAAAACACCTTAATTTAATCCATAGATTAACAAAACCCAGAAACCAAAACTAAAAATAAGTCAAGATTATATATATTTAGAGAGAGAGCGAGAGAGAGAGCGAGAGAGAGAGGAGAGAGAGGCTTACAGTGTTTCTAACAACCATATGAGGGATGGCATTGTATCTACAGAGGTCAAGGCTGACTTCCATGCCGGAATTTCCACACCCAACAACCAAAACCCTTTGGTTTCTGAAATCAGAGCCAGACTTGTACAGACTGGTGTGAAGAACAGGGCCTTGAAAATTATCCATCCCAACAATCTCCGGTACGACGGGCTCAGCATTCTCTCCTGTGGCAACAATCAGCCACTTGGAAATGTACTCTGAATCCTGAGTCTTCACCCTCCAAAACCCAGAAACGGAATCGAATTCCGCGGTCTGGACGGCCTGATTGAACTTGGGGTGGATTGAGAAGTGGGAGGCGTAGGACTCCATGTATGAAATGAACTGGGATTTTGTAGGGTACCTTGGGAAATCTTCGGGGAACCCCATGAGAGGAAGCTCACAGAATTGCTTGGGAAGGTGGAGTTTGAGACGGTCGTATGTCTTCTGCTGCCATAGAGAAGCTATGCAGTTGGATTTCTCGAGAATCAGAGAAGGGACGCCATTGTGGGAGAGGCAAGCTGCTGCTGCGAGGCCAGATGGTCCTGCGCCTACAATGATAGGGCCTTGAAGAATCCCGGAATTGGATTCTGGGTTTTCTTGTTGAGGTTTTTTGGACGAACCCATGTCGGAAAATCCCAAGAAAGTGAAAGATTTAGATAGAGAAAGCGAGAGAGAGAGAGAGAGAGAGAGAGAGAGAGAGAGGGAGGGAGAGAGAAACCTTTGTGGGTTTCTTTTTAGTTGCTCTGTTTAGAAGGGACTGTTAGGGTGGTGTTTCTTTATCTCTGTTTTTCTGAGGAAAATATTGGGGAGGTGGGAATGAATTTAAAGAGGCTGGTGGGGAGAGAGACTTGTACTTTGAGCAAGTGGGAATGAAGGGTTTTATGGAGATTTTATAGGGAAGTCTCAATACAAAGCGAATCAGGAGCGTGAGGTTTCTGAGCGACTGATGAGGACTTTTAATGCATAGAAAACAGAGTAAGAAATGAAAAAAAAAACAGTGTTATTATCAGAAGTGAGGGGTAGAGAGAGAAAGTGAGCAGAGAGAGGAGGGAGGAAGGGGGTTGGGGGAGGTAATGGAGGCGTGAAGGTTAAGGAAAGGATTTGGTTTTCTCTATCTCAAGGCTCTTTCTTCCTTCTCAGTTTTCTTCTGTGTGCAGAGTTGAGTTTTTGGGAGGATTAAGTAGCATTAGGAGGAGGAGGAGGCAGCAATGGGGTAAAAGGGGGAATGACATAAATATATTTATGTGGGATTTTAATGATTGAGGTCGTTATTTTTGGGAGGAATGGCACGTCCCACTCACACTTAACAACATTGGTTTAGTAATCTCTTTTAGGTACTTCTTGTGTGTTTCTTGTCTACATTCCTTTCACATTATAATGAAACTCATTTAGTTGTCAATGGGATTATACTACTTCTTCGACTATATGAGATTTGGATTGAATCAACTCGCTAGAATATTGTCTTAAGATGCAGTATGGAATTGGATATAATGAAAATTAAAATCGAGATAAACCAATTTCAATTCTATATCAAACATTACAGCGGTTTCAACCAATCTAACGAGGCTTAACGAAAGCGAACGATGTAAATGAATTTGGGACATTTGTCCCATGTGATCTTAGGTACGGAACTCCAAGGCATGGACTTATCTAGGAATTGCTAGTTCCTACTACAAATTGTGGAGTTCATCAATAGGCACTAGTTTTAGAGATTGTATGAGTGAAAGTTAACAGAGAGTCATGGATTATTGAAAAGAGAATTGAACCATTCGACTAAATGATCAAAAAATGGAAGACTCGCTGGAGGCGCTTGCCGTGAATCCTTCCAGGAGTAGGTGGGCCATATGGGAAGATATGCTGTTACGTGGATGCCAAGTCAGCAGGGGAGTAGTTGTTGCACCGCAGGAAGCAGCGGTGAGAATTGTTGCTTCTGTCAACTGCCGTCCGTTGGAGTACTATTGTCTTTCTCTTGCCACGTGGTGTAGTTGCTGCCGGCCTCTGCCGGGAAAATTAACAACTCGAATGGTATTTCAACATTTGATGTGGATTGCATTTTGCTATTTAATTTATGGAGTTTAACAAAATATTTTGGGCATTGCTTACTTTTAATAATCATATTTATACATTTTTCTGGTACTATTTACTATACTTTTAAAAAAGGCTTTTCATTATAAAGAAATTTTTTTTAGATTTTTCTTTAATTTTCCTTTTAATTTAAGTAACACTTTGTTCCGTGGATGAGTCCATCCTTCGGTAATGATTTTTAAACCAAGTGCATTTGGGTCAAATATGATTTTTCAATGTACATTTGTGTACTTGTTCATCATTTTTTAGTACTTTCTTTGATATCACATTAATTATTGTTTCTTCGTTTTGATTTTTAGGTTTCAACTTTACCTTTCTACTGTAATGAATATTAATAAGATTACACCGTTTTTGCGTTGAAAAGATGTTATGATGTCATTCTAAGTTTATAAATCTTTCAGGATTTTATTATATATATACATATATTTTTTCTTGGTCAAAATTTTCAACTTTTTTAATACATTAATAGTCGTCGACCAAAAAATATAAAAAACTTTAATAGTTGATCTTAAAATGTATATTATTTCTTTTAATACTTGCATTTTCTCTTAGGAATGAGCTCTCATTCGCAAATGTAATATATTTTAATAGAAGAAATTTTATAATCGAAATTATTCTATTTCTTAATTTTTATTAAAAGCTCATCCTTACAAAAAAAAAATCATTCAAATTCAAAATCGTTTAATAATCCAAATGTATCAAATAAATGAACAATTCATATGAATATGTTATTTGATACCTACACTATTGATTTATTGGTACATGTACATGACTCAACGAGCTCCAATTCAAATGAATTTTTTGAAAGAATCTTTAAATGATGATTTACAAATTGAATGGTTCTGATTATAATTATTTATTTATTAATATATTTGCAACTAGGGAATGACCATCAATACACTTGTTTATCTCTCTACACCCACTCCCCCATTTTCCCCGGTGAACCCAAAACACATCTCCTCGAGTCATCGACGGCCACCATCCTCCACTTTTTTATTTCTCTTTCTCCTCCCTCTTCTCTCTTTCCTCTTGAGCCGAATGGGAACTGCAATGCTTCGCAGGCTTCGCTGTCAACAATGACTTCGCTCTATGTTCCTCCGTTTACTCTCCTTTCCTCACTGATTCTCTCTCTTTCCCCGTCGGTTGGGACCCGTAGCTTCCATTTTCATACCCTCATTAGTCATTGCTTAAACCCCAAGCTTCCCATTTTTGACGTTTAATCCTACTTGTTTGATAATAAAAAGAAAATACTATTTCAAATTGACCCAATTACCTAATAGTAGGCACCGGAATAACTTAACCTCAAGAACAAGAAAGAGATGAGAGCTGCAATGGTCAACTGCGTTTAGGTTTGGATTCACCGGGAAATGGGAAGTGGGTATAGAAACAAATGGTTGATGGCTTTTGTTTTCTAATATTTATTTTTTATATTTTCATTCACATAAGGGCAAATTTGGTAGTTTGTTAGGAAAGATTTATGAGTTGGGTGTGAAGATACATAAATTGGGTTCATATAAAATTTTCCTGATTATTTATATCATGTCAAATTTTTGTCACGTAAATGTAGCAAGCTTGTTTCTGGATCATACATAGAACCTGGAAAAGTTCAGGAGTTCCTCATACAGATAAAGTTGTATGGAATGGAGCCAACAAATCCACAATAATTTACATTTTTTAAATAATTATTAAAAGGAAGAGGAGGATTTGAAACTATTAGTCAATAAGTTAGGAAAAAGGAGTTTCAAACTCATAACGCATATAGATAGAAACTCAACCCAACATCCTACCCACAAGAATTAACATTTTACATCATCTCTTTCGGAGGCCGAAAGATATACGTGCTATGTTTTGTTCCCTATCCTCTTGCTCTTTTGCTGCCTACTATAGCATGCCAGCCCTTGGTAATCACAATTAAATTAATAGTTGACTAAAACTCTTTGTAATGTAGTTACTTTGATGTTATTATATTTTCATATATTTGGAATACTAAGATAGGGAGTTGGGGTAGCTGATATTTAGGTAGTTGTTCTTTTATCAATTAGTTGCCAATTGGCATACTGTTAACCTAGACAACTAAACTAAAACATCATGTAATAAGATAAGTAGAGGGAGATTTTATTAGCACTCTAAAAAAATCTTTTTGCACTCCTAAAAAATAAATTATTTTAGGTGCTTCTATATTTTCATCCAACATAAATGTTCTTACTATAAACAAAAATACGATCTTAATTTCTATATTTCATAATGAATGAAATGACCCAGATAAAATATCACTTCCTTTTTGCTAAACCACGGGGAGCCTTGGAGTAGTTTACATGGCAAATTTAGTTGTTGTGGCTATATCTTTCTTAATTCTCTAGAGGCCTTCAAGTTGAGGGCCTTCGTCAAATTCAATTTCTATGGTTAAACAAAACCTTGAGTGATTCTTCAATCAACCCAATTATTTTTCAGCACAAATATCTACTTACTCTTCAGCCAAAACCCCTTAGCTCTTCAGCTACATTCTCAAAGCCCTCTTTCAATATAAATATTGCCTACAATCCCTAAGATCTAGATTTTTTACAGCTCTGACACCTTGTGGTTTGATTCGATTGATGTGTCATTCCAACCACCTTGATTTTCTCTCTGAGGCCTATGTTTTGTACCAAGTCCAATCCCGATGCCAGTGATCTCGGTGGAGTTCTTAGCATTATGTTGTTCTTCATGGCCTGAATCTTGGTAAAGTTTTGCTACTTTCTTTACATTTTTCAGTCACTTTTCATTTCTAGTCATCTAGCTTGGCCCTTCGGCCTAGATTTTGCCTTTATAAATGTTTGTAATCTTGAGTTTATTATGAAATGATTACACTCTGTTTCTTGCTTTAGTTTCCATTTCACTTTCATTTACTTTTTAAGCAAGCACACACAAAGTTACATTGAACTTTAAGTCCGGTTCACTTGACGTACAAAAAAAAAAATATTTAACCAAACCAATGTCTTACTCGGTCCGCAATCATTTTGGTTAAGAAATTAGATTTATGCGCAACTTTCATGCTCACTAAAAACCTAAACACTGTCTATTGATAGCCTCCAACATTGGCACGCATATTCTCTCTTTCTCTTGACTCTTGAGCCATCTCATGAGGCTGAGATTGAAAGCAACACTACGAGAAAATACATGTTGAACTCCGTCCAAGTTCTGACACCAACTAACTCTTTAAATCATTGAATGCAGTAATTACAATGTCCTCTTACTCATATTATGACGGTAAGAACAATAATCATTGAAATTTAATTTGGGTATAGAAACAATAAACACATGACAATTGCGCTATCCTAGCTACCACCATATCTAATTAAGACAATGTTGATCTGTACTCGTTGAAAGCTACACCAAAGGGACAAGAAGAACAAAGCGTAATGCATTAGGGGTCAATGAGGATATAATATCCCAACGACCTCAATGCATGATGGTGTTTGGAAAAGAGGATCTAGGGAGCTAGAAATGGACTAAAAGGACATACACAATCTAGGTTAGGCAAATAAAATCTAAGGCATATTTTTATTCTTCACGGAATATACACTTAGTTGGAGCGCAATTCAGCTCTAGGGCATGACCTACTATCTTTTCATATTAATTTGTAGTCTTTCTTCAACTTTTACACCTGTTGATTTCTAAAAGTTCTAGGCTTGGAAGGCAGCCTTGCTGCCACTCCATAATATTATACATGATTCTCCAAAAATGGCGACAAGTTGCTGACCTGAGGTGAATCCATATAAATATTAGTTCTTTAAGTTCGACCTAATCTTGTGGCCAGAAGAAGGTTCAACCAAGATAAATTAATCATTACATAATCCAAACTACTCAAGGCTGGTGAATGAAAATCTAATTACAATTTAACTTATTTTAAACCTTAATCTAATTATATAGAAACACTTTCTACATCATTAAGCATGAAATACATCTTGACGTTCCTGTAAAGTTAGATTCTTGTCTACAAGATTATGATGAAAATTAAGAATCTATTATTAGAACTCTCATGACACTTATATTCTTGGTTCAAGAACGTGCTTGAATTTTTTTTATTTAAGTTGATATGTGAACATTTAATAGCTTTT